ATATAAACAGGCATAAAGGGAGGAATAAAAGGAATAAAGAGGAAAAGATAAGTTTGAAAAGGGGAAAAAACGGGCAGACATAACAAAGACTTTTGAAGGAGAGAAAAAGGCAATATGAGAGGAACAGACTGCAAAAAAATGAAGAAAGAAAGACAGAAGAAGACAGAGAGCAATGATTAGATTGCTCTCTCTGTATGGATCAGGGCGAGAGCTCCCTTTTCAATCCAATCAAGCTCAGGCAAAGGTAAACAATCAGTCTGGGTAAAGGATTGGATAAATCCTCGATCCGACTCATTCTCAGTAAAGCAGCTATTTATTGGGCTGGCCTCACATGGCTAAATTGGACCGTCCTCCTTCTGAGAGCCGGGCAAAGTGCAAAGTGGGAAAAGGTGTAAGATGAACTGAGAATTTTGGGAGTGAAATATATCTCTGCCTTACAAAATAATACACACTATGGAAAGTCTTTCACAGTAATCCGTAAGGACTGAAAAGGCAAAAGAAAATCCAGTGCAGATCTCAAGTCATACATCATATTCTTATGATCTTAAAAGGACGCAACACAATTTGGGACACAAGCAGCTCTCTCCCAAAGCTAAAAACCAGAGATGAATATAAGATTTTAAACTACTTTCACACAGTTTATCTGATCTATAAAATATTAAACTATGATATCTTTAAAGGCTCTGTGGTTCGCTTTGCAGAGGGGCTGTTCATCAAAAAACGTAGTAAAAATGTTGTCAACACAAATTTGTGGGTATAATGTTTCTCTGAAGGGAGAATACAGAGAGCATTACGAGGACATTCCTACTCAACTCGATTATACTCATAAATAATAATAGAGCAGCCAGAAAACTTAAAAGTGTGTCTGCCTAGAGGCAGGTGCAAACTTCTCGGTGAGGATGGAAAAGAAGGAGACAAGATCCACTTTGGTAGCTGTCTCCTTTGAAAATACTGACAAGTACAACAAACTAACCAAATTAAATTACTCCGCAAGCAAGAATCTCAGTAGCAAAGATGACGATAAACCATCGACTTCATCCCACAAATCTCTTCATTTGAGGCCCCAGCAAATTAGCAACCGTATTCCATATTTCGTTACATTAAATATGAGCGCTCTGATTATTAAAGGGGTGAGATTTAAGCAGCTGATGCATACTTTAGAGCCAATGATTGACACCGTAATGCTCGCAGTAATGGTGAACTATGGCACAATGAGAGGGGGGGGGGGGGGGGGGAATGGGATAAATTAAGCAAAATGGAACAATAAGTGGCCCCCCCACGTGGATTATAAAAGACTCTGGATTTGTTTTTGAATCCATAAAGGATACAGTCTAATCCCCCAAAGAACATAAGCCTAATGCCCGGGTCATTACTCCGACAAACACCTCTAATCAATAATTTTATTTGGAATCAATAAAAAATGAATTTGCGTAATCCTTGCACCCATCCGCTCCTGGGAATACTTTATAATTCCCCCCACTGGTATAGCTTGGCTGCCTAATGGTTTTGGAATGAACCTCTGTGTATGCACAAAGTATTATTCAAAGGTTGCTGCTAATTGGTTAAAACTATAAAAATATCAAGAACCTTTGCAACGCTGCAGATAAAATATCAAATTCACGAGGAAGCCATTACGGTAGGCAAAGCATTTGGTCAGCAACAGAGAGCAATATTTAATTCTGCTAAGACAAAGGGAAAGCAATATTTCATTTTGAGTTATGAACGCATGCTTTTGAGGCTCTGTTTGATGTAAAGTCCTCTAGGTCGATGTCTTGGATTTTTCCATCCCATGGCCTGCTTGCTTTGGCTTCTTTGTCTCCACTCTGTAGTGGCACCAAATATGGCCCCTTTGCTGACAACGGCCGAAGAAATATAGCACACAAAGGAAACCGCAACTGTGCAGTGTCGAAACAGTCCATTTGTGTAAAGGAGGGAGAGGTAAAATGTAAGGATGGAGGAAGGGGAGCTGGGGTGACAAGGATTAGGTTATCAATACAGCCAATGAAGCGCAGTGGAAACTCTATAAGCCCAATGGGACACGCTGCAGAATGCTGCAGTGTGCTTTCCCAGTCTAACTCACTGGGACAGAGGTCAGCACAGCCGCTGTTCACTTCCCGTCTATTGCAACCAAGCTCGTCTGACGTCGCTGGTTAGTGTGTTTGTATTGCTGGCACATTGGGTCAATTTGTGTCTTTTACGATTCGAAAAACGTACCACCCATTGGAGTGTGATAAGAGTCACAATAGTGAAGATGAAGGTCGGGCCATCCAACTCTTATTGTGAGCAGGCTACTAAAATGTAAAATAAATATTGGAATGAACATCATTAGTTGTTTTTTTTCACTCTATATAACGTTAAATGTTTTGTGTCTCCTTTTAACTACACTGAATGACATTAAATCCTTCAACCGTCTTTATCTCAATAACCATCACCGAATGTTCTCTTATCTCTTCCTACCGTATCTTTCTTCATTACCTTTGTGCCACCATCAAATGTCCTCACACTGTTGCATCATGTCATCATTATCTGACCTCTGTCTGTGTGCATAAATACATAAATATGCAATCTACTTCTTCGCCGCCCTGTTCTTGTAAACATTGACCTATGGTGTTGACAATATTTGCAAGTATTAAATATTTATATAAATAGTTAAGTCATTTGATGTGCAGACAAGATAAAAAGCCTGTTATTGTTTGTTTGTCATCGACAGGTTTAAATCCCAGGCGTTCTGACTCTTGGTAAGTTTTGTATTTGCATTATATTGTAGTTGTACAACACAAAACCATGGGCTTTGTTTATTTAACTAATTATGTTGTTCAATAATATGAGTTAGCCTTATTTTGCTGCCACCCTTCCTTATAGTAGTCAAAGTTACAGTTGGTCAAGGAGGTATTTTAGTGATGTATTTTAATTCCAATTACTAGTTACTATTTTCTTTTAACTTTAGCTTTAGTATCCATCTGACTGCATGGCATCACATTTTGTCATATGACACCTGTGCCACTTTCATTAGCTAGCGAAAGCCTTGAATATGTGGGCGGAAGCTCAAAATAAAACGTAATAAATGGACCTTGATTTTGAATTACTTTTTCAATTATACTGATAGCGAGACTAGTCAAGAATGTATTTCTTTAACTTGATGTCCATCACTTTTCAGTTCCCCACTCAGACCGTCATCATACGGAGGTCAAATATGTTCAACCACAGTTGAGTTTCAGTCGGAAGGCGTTGAGCTTCTGAAATGTTGTCACTGCCGCTGCAGTTCCATGGTCTGTTATCTGTTTCTTTGTCTCTGCCTTTGTTTGTTATTGTGAGTCTCCGTACACGTTTTCTCACACACACACTAACTTAAACATTGTCTCTTTGCTGGAGGAAATAAAACCGCTCTACAGTCTTCTGTGCATTTTAAATTCTGACAACGGCGACCAATGGGATCATTATTCAAAATACGCTCCCACCTCCGACCCGGAGAACAAGCAATCACTGACGCAATTTCCTGCATCTTTGAACTGCTGCAGGGGAATAAACTTGTGTAGTGTATGTTTTTCCAGAGCACATTTTTATATGATTATTATTATTTATGATTATTTTTCCGGTACCAGTGGAGACATAGATTTCATTTAAAAGTTGGTCTGTATTTATTTGGGCACCTGAAATGTGGTGTGCATCGTTCTGCATGTGCGTTTGTGTGAGAGAAAGGGAGAGAGAGAGAGAGAGAGAGAGAGAGAGACAGGAAAATGGATGAAATGAGAGAGGAATGACAGCCACAGTTAGTATGTGCAGGTTAGGTCAACAGATGTGTGATTAGGTATTGCAGCTACATACAAATGATTTGATTGCCTCTACAGGGTCACACAAGCCAGCTGCCTGTTACACACACACATACACACATGTACATGCCCACGCGCAGAGATGATGCACACATAAACACAAGAAGAAAACAGGGAATAGACACGGGCACTGTTTTATTCATGTTGATGTGATGCCAGTGGACATTCACCCGTGAGGAACACTGTTTTTCTCACCTCACACACTCCCACACACATGCACAAAACACACAGCACTGCTGCCGTCACCTCGGGTCATTTTACATCTCGCTTTTTAAACTCACACAAATGCACGCGCACGCTCTCTGGTGTTTTTGGAGTTCAACCCAGGAAACCACACGTGTCAACCGTTGGACCAAATATACAGCTGTGCTTGTGTGTGTGTGTGTGTGTGTGTGTGTTTGCTTTAATGCTCTCTAAATGGGCTTTTTTATATGGCAGGAAAAAGGGATATGCTCTTTTTCTAACCAACTAATGCCTTTCCCTCCAAACGCAGCATGTGCATCCTGTCAGAGCTGTTTTTGTGTTTTATCTTTTTTTTTACATACAACATATGTAACAGACCAGCTGCATGATCAGCTTTGCTGAAAGAAAGGTCGCTGTAACTGAAACTAAGTCACTCTAAATCCTGAGCTACAGATGCGCTTGTTCCTCAAAACCCTATGCTGAAAGTGTCACTAACAACGGAGATTAGTCAGGTAATTGCCAACGGATATCAATGTTCACCTGCAAACGCGGAAGCACAGGATGGATTTAGTTGGTGCCGCTGTAAGGCAAATAAAGATGGATATAGTGCGACTCGGCTCAACACAAGCAAAATGACACTATAAACATAACAAATGACTCAGGGATTAATCATATTATTTAGCACGGGTAAGGAATCACTCTTACTGATGCTTGCGATAGAATTTGTTCACATCTCCTGCGGCCAGCCTGTGTTGCCACCAACATGGACGAAACATTTGAGTAGCTGCAAGAGCTTTGTTCATCCATTCAAATATCATTCATCATACTCATCTAATACAAATTTGTACAGTCGTTGTATTTTTAAGCAAGAGTCTAAATGTTTTACTCAGTAAACGTCACCCCGGATAACAGGATCAGCGTGGACATAAATGTCAGTCAAATATCTTGGCGCACACACCTTACTCAGCAGGTGCTTTGGGAGCTTACCTGAGGTCTTGGGTGTCCTTTGACAATGCACTGAAGAACTAGCGTGTCTCCTTCTTTGATGGTGTAGATTCTCTCGCTGATGTTATCATCCTTGACGTTACACGCTTCGCCTGAGTGCACGATCTGGGCGTTGGCTGGAGCTGTGAGTCAACGCATGGACACACACATGCCGACACACACATGCAGCCATTGAGACATACACACGTCCACACAGAAAAACACAGAGGGAGAGAAACCACATTAAATGTTTAGTAACATATCTGCAGGACTAAAATGGCTCATTGTCCTGTGGGTGCATGTGTAATAGTGCATCGATTACTCAGATAAATAAATACATTATATCACTCTGCATCGGCATGAAAAAAACCCTCTTAAAAGAATGCTGTGGTTGTTCGTGTGTCAGTGTTGATAAGGCCTTTTAATAGCAGGTCAAAAGGCTGGGACGCTGCTTTTGTCTTGCACAGTATAATGTGTATGGTGACATACACATTATACTGTGTTGGAAGTTCCGACGAGTACTACAAAGTGCACGTCACTCAGAACTCAGAAGACGGGTTATTAAAGTCTTATTCGATAGCTGTTTTGAAGCATTTGAGACGATGAATTGTGAGTTTTGCAGTGAGTCTGTGGACATTTTCATTTTTAACCATCAGCCTTATGCTAATTTGACATTTTATTTTGTGTCATTTCACGTTGTATCCCGACCTGTCTGCTTATTAGACGCAAGCGTGTATTCAGAATATTCACACCTGAGACCCAAACATTGGATAGCTAATCATGTTTTTCACTTTACTCATTTCACTACTTCTTGTCATCAAGATCTTCTGAAAGAATCATATTGAATGAAATCAACACATTGATTATGTGAGCTCCATACCTAGAGCTCCATACTCATGTACGGTATTTGTTTTACAACACAAATTCACAGTAACTGCAGGAAAAAAAAGAGTGAGGATGCATGATGGTTGATCTCTGCAGCAACTCGCAGTGTGCACAGCGCTGACCCGCGGGGAGGGTGGGCTTGCGTGCGAGAAAGCATCGTAAGGCTTCACCTCCCGTGTGATGAAGGGAGACAGAAGCGAGAAGGGCAGAGACAGAGACGGAGACAGAGAAGCAGCGGGTGAAAGAGAAAAGGCCAGAGAGGAGTGTGAGATCCCAGGGAGGAGGACAGGAGGGGGACGCGGGGGGGGGGGGGGAGGCACAGTGATGTGATTAGCATCGATTTACAGGGGAACACATTTTCACCGCGCTCTGTGACTGTTATCATGGAAGAGACAGGAACCGAGTGGGCGGCCCGTTCACCTTAAACATCAACTGGATCGGACGTTGCGACGCACAGCGCCATCACAAGCAAGAAGGAATCCAGTGGAAAATAAAAGAAGCCCTCCGAGTCTGTCGTTGCGTATTCTCTGATACAGGACAAGCGAGAGCTGTTAATAGCTTCAGGTGTCGGGACATAGCGAGTGGGCCTGTCCACTTACATCTGTACATTTTGGTGACATTGCCGCTTTACTTTAAAGGAAGTTTCTTTGCTCTTTGAAGAAACAATGAGACAGGAACAAGGCTGTATGTTCGATTCAGTCGTGGTGGTAAAGCTACGCTGTTGTCATTTGGCCGGATGAATAAATCTACTTACAAAACAGTAATTACTAAACACTTACAAAAATGTCTGAGTATACTGTATGAAAAAGAAAAACATATTTTAGGAAAATAAGTGAAGTGAAGATAGAAAACAGCCTTTTCCAAATGTATCTTCATCTATCATCTCTTTTATTCTCATTTTCCGAAAGTGGATGTTTTGGGGAAGGAGAGAAAAAGCCAGAGCAGTTGTGGTATAATTTCCAAAATGCGTACTATATGTTTGCGCTCCTGTTTGTGTGTACTTGAACGTGCGCGTGTTGAGTGTGTGTGTGTCTGTGTGTGAACGCCTGTTTGTTGAAAGGCTCAACAAGACATTTTATAGCAAACCACAGCTATTTTCTTACCAAAGTATAGCGTTATATGTATATGATGCTATACTTTGGTGAAATGGGTGTAATGTGCAGATTGGCATGTGTGCGCAAATATGCTCACACTCAATGTGAAATAGATTTGAAATGCTCTCCACATATAGAAGATTTGAGATTCTAACTCATGTAGTTTAGCCATTTAAATAAATAATTTACTCTTTTAATTAAAACCGATTGAGTTCCTTTTCAGACCGAACTCGGTTTTATTCACAGAATTAACGTTGGTATTCACACGCGTGGACCGCCAGGTATAATTACAGTCTTTATCTGTTGTCCACTGAGCACATCCAGTGGAGCAGTTAGGAGTTAAGTGTTTTGCTGAAGGGCATGTTGATAACGTTTGATTTGAGAGCAGAGATCATGTCTTTTTTGTATTTTCTCAGTTGTGTTTATTGTTGACAATATATATAATATTCTTCCAGAAACAAGAAACCACTAGGCAAAAGTTCGCTGGAGCAAATCTCTATAGATCAAAATCCAACCCAATATGTGAAAAAAGTATTAAAAACTGTATGCGGAGTTCCAGAGGTGTGCGGAACTGACTGAGAAAGACAGCGAGCTGATATAAATGGAGAATAATTGTCTCCTTACAGCTTATTGGCGTGTCTGCATTAGTTTGCCTCTCCGGAGAGGGAGGGAGGGTGAACAGAGCGGCTCCTCTGTCTGCTCTCGCCTTCGGCAGCTTGGCTGCTTCAACTGTCTGATCAAGTAGGGAAAGGGAGGCCGAGAGAGAGAACGAGACAAGGAAGGCAAAAAAGAGCGAAAAGAAAGGAAAAGAGAGAGAGAGAGAGACAGAAGAAAAAAAGGTGGAGACACAGAAAAACCGCAGACAAGTAAAATAAGTCGAGAGAAACTAGGAAGAAATACAGAATACAAAAAAATAAGGTGAGGAGAGGGTCAGGCAGAGAGAGACAGAGTATGGGGTAAATTGTTATGGAATGAGGGCAACTTTGTTTGAATAAAATGTTTGAGATTGCTTTTGTATACCAGTATTCTTTCCATTGATTCGATAATGAAATAAAAAATAATGATGGAAAAGGGTACTGAAAGTGAAGGAAAGAAAAATTGATAATATAAATACATGATCCAAAAACCAAGTCGGTATATGTGGTTGGCCAAAGAATAGAGACTGACGGCTGGTCAGTCGATTGTGATGGGATGTGATGGGTGAAGGCTGCTCATCAGGGAGCTGCAGTCAAAAGCTAAACAAAAGAATGATGCAAACAAAGCACGAGCACTACGACCCGTACGCCGCACAGACCTCCACTCAATCTTCCGTTGGCACGCACGGCAACAATCGCACCATTACGAAAACGAACTGGACAAACCGCCTATCCAACTAACTGGAATTTAACCACTTTGTAAATATCCTCTGAAGAAGCGCTGTATTTAACAGCAGACATTGCTCAGTTGCTCAGCAACACCAAATAAACATCACAGTTAAGTTTACACACTTTGTGACTAATTTAGCACGAACTGTAGGAGCGGAGGGAAATTTGTATTTTCCGTATTTATTTGAGTAGTACAAAGGCAAAAGGCGATTGTTGGAGGCTGCTCATGTTTTGTAACCTGTGTGGCCTTAAAGCATAAATGAGCATGCAAGCTAGCTATTCAGCCAGGTAGCTTTCTAACATTTGTTTTTGCATGGCTATTGTATTTTAATGCTGGTAGGTTTCTGTAGAAGGGCGAAGGGGTCAAAATATAGACCATCCAAATACAGTTCATTCATGCCACAAACCGTCATGATTCTGAAGAAATCTCACGATGCTGCGAGGTTTGGGTTGTAGTTGTGATTTTACTTTGAGTATCAAAGAGTATCAAAAACCAAAAAAAGAGAAAATAAATCAATCGACAGAATAGAAAATAAATCTAAATCTGGCAAAGGCCTGATGCAGAGGAAAGAAACATTGGTACAAGCGTGTCCGGAGGTGCATCAATTCAGTTAGTGTGAAAGACGATCATCAGTCAGAGAAAGCTGCTGTTTTGACAGCGATCCATCCGACTCGGATGCTTCATCCATCAGAACTGTTCCAGGGAATGCTGATTGAAAGTGTTGTCCGTGCATTATTGGAAACTTTCTAAGACATTCAATGCACATTAGTTGTAAGTGAAACATAACTATCGGCAAAGGCCTCGTCTGATTAATTGATTCGTCACCGCCTGCCATGTTTGTTTTTGTTGAGCGGACAGCACATCTCTCACTAAAACTAATGATGAGACAAGAGAGCTGCTGTCAAACTGCAGTGACTGCCTGACGGAGTGCCGAGCAGCATGTGTGTGGTTGAAAGTGAGAACAAGAGTGGGGGTGTGCGTGTGCTGTTGATGTGCGAGAGAGCGTGCACAACATGCAATGTGTGTGTGTGTGTGTGTGTGTGTGTGTTGTGTGTGTGTGTGTGTCGCTTCGTACTGTATCTTGCCGGAAGAATCCCAAAGAAGGTCACGAGGCCTGTCGAACGCGAAGACGCGCAGCGCATGATTGATGTGCGTAGTTACTTTATGGGACCTGCTCGTGCATCCCGATGAGCTCTGTCTCAATTCACTTCATTTACAAGAGACCATTAAGATGCTTTGGCCCTTCCCCTGCCATCACAAGTAGGCTACGAAAGAAAGGGAAGCAAAAGGAAAGCGGGAGGAGATATAAAAAAAACAAAAAACAGTGGAGAGTGGGTACCCAAGGGAAACGTCACAGACTTTATTGATTAACTCCAAAAGAGGGAAGTGTTCATCTGGCTCAAAGAGACTAATCACACACACACACACAGACTCACACAAAAACAGCTTTATGCCCTAAAGCCCGAGTGACTCACATAGCCTCATCATTTTTTCCGGGATTCTTGTCTGAAGATGGGGGGGGGGGGGGGGGGGGTCAAACGGTTGATGTCATGACCTCTTCCTTTTCATTTTGGCTCGATTGGAGCTCCAGATATCAAAACGCGTGCAGGACATTGATTTAACTTTTGACCCAACCGTTAAATCACGATTATGAATGAAAGTCTAACCCTCGGTAACCTTTTTGCCGCTTTCAATCAACTCCAAATTGTTTCCCCGCTTACAATACCCACAGTACTTTAGAAAACAGAAAAAAAGTTTTACACAAAGAGGTACAACCTACCTAAAGGCATTGTTGTGTC